CAACACCAACCACGGATTCGCCGCAAACACGCGCCCCTTCTTCTTCCAAGAGGTCATCGACAAGAGTACGTTAAATTATTTTCTCTCCTAGCTGTTCATTAAAAGCGAAATATATTTTAATGCTACGTATGTCTTGTACAGCTGGCAAGGAGGGAGTTCACAACTATGAGTACACGAGCTTTGGCCGAGTGACGGAGTTCAGATACGGCATGGAGCTTTCCGGAGTTTTCGGAGGCAACAATGCTCTCAAATATCTGTCCAACTGGGGTATGTAGCTTCTATCGTCTTTTGAATAGTTCAATCACAAGTAATACGCTTTTAACTGAAAAAAATATTTGGCGCGTGGTTGCAGGACCCAAATGGTCACTCATGGACGGCAACGACGCTTTGGCTTTCATTGACAACCACGACAACCAAAGAGGCCACGGTGGAGCTGGGTCCATTTTGACATACAAATCCGCAAAGCCGTACAAAGTAAGACCTTTTTCATTAATCTCTCTTCAAGCGTTGTGCGCTATTCACGAAGCTTGAAAAACGTTCTCTATTTCCAGATGGCTATTGCGTTCATGCAAGCCTGGCCGTACGGCGTCACTCGCGTCATGTCCAGCTACGACTTCTCTAATACCGATGCCGGTCCCCCAGCTGACGGCAATGGCAATATCAAGGACGTGATCATCAACAGCGACCTCACCTGCGGCAACGGCTGGGTGTGCGAGCACCGTTGGAGGCAGATTTACAACATGGTGGCGTTCAAGAAGGCTACGGAATGTAAGTTTTGCTTCCAAATCTAGACAAAGTTTTCAGCTTTGTTCAGTTAGAAAGAGAAGTATAATTCTAAAAAACTGCGTTACAGTCACTGACGTGCTGAACTGGTGGGACAACGGAAACAACCAGATTGCTTTTTCACGTGGAAACAAGGGCTTCATTGCCTTCAACAAAGACTCCTACAACCTGGCTCAAACTTTGCAGGTAAGGGTTTTACCAACGTTTTTTCTGCCATGTTATTTTTTGCACTGACTTGTTTGGTTTCAAAACATGTCTGTAATACAAAGTTCGTAATTCGGAATATAGTATCTATAGAAACGTATTATCTTGCATTTTGGAAGTATACCACTTATCTCAGTACTCATTCTTGTCATTACTCCATCTGTACTCTGTTATCTGGGAAACATTGTACGTCATTTACAAAGTGAGTACGATATGACAATGAATATATTAAATAATCGGAACAATGTGTCATAAGAGGCTGTCATTGGTTGATTACCGTAGTAATACTATTAACCACTATTGTGTCGATTTTATATAACGGTCAATGTTATGACATGACACGTAAAGCATTGCGCATAAATATATTCATACCGAAATCTGAAATGATTTATCTTCGTAGACTGGCCTGCCGCAAGGCACATATTGCGACCTGATCTCCGGCCTCAAGTCCGGCAGCAGCTGCAC